TTCTTCCATAATAAAAACATATGTCATTTTAATATATAATAGCAACATGGTATGTATGAAGATAAAGTGGATGGCAAAATTGTTACATATTCTAAACTCGGTTGGAAGGATCCATGAAGGGGTGTTTATTTTCATGATATTGGGATTTATAATAAGTTTAAAGGGACATTTCGGCTTTGACTGTCGGTGATCGACAAGTGGAGATGATTTGTTCAACTTCAAATTCTAATAAGCGTCGATTAAGTTTTGAACATTTATAGGAATAAAGAATTATTATTTAGCTCCATTCGGTTGATTCAGGATCAAAATTGGCGGACTTGGATGACAAGGTAGATAAGGTTCTATCATGAAAAGGTCATTTTTTCAACCTTTCGGGTACTTCTAAAAAGAAAGTAATTGTTCGCCGTCTACAAAACATAAAGACAAGAAAAATTTTTGTTGCTAAAAGATTTTGTACATATGATCAAGACATGAAAGGTGATGGGGTACCACATGAAGGATTGTACAAAAGATTTCTGTAATTTTTTTAACAAGATTTGTATACATGATGTTAGTTAATGAATATCATGTTTATAAATGTTTCTGGTGTAGGTAAATGTAAGAAAAATGCTTTAACTAAACAATTGTGTGTGATGCATAGAGTGAGTTTTTTTTGGGGATAACAAGAGAAGTTGATGAAAAAGCTTGCTTTGTTAAATCTTAAGGCAATGTAGGGTTATTTTTAGTTTATTTCTCCTGTATTATTGTTAGGTGTAGATCGGATAGTAGTATCTCTATTTGAAATCTGATAGTGTTTATAATATTCTGTCATTGTGGAAGGGAATTGGGTTAATCGTAAGGCATTGATTTATAGGATCCATGTCTATGTGTTGCATGACAAAGTACGTAAAAGAACATTATGGAATTTTGGGTTAATCGTAACACATTGATTTATAGGATCCATGTCTATGTGTTGCATGACAAAGTACGTAAAAGAACATTATGGAATGTTATTAGTTATTTCCATAATCGAAGTCAGGGATTGCATTGTTTTTGGTAACCTTAATTAGGTAGTCAATTAATCTGAAAGACTTAGTTTAGCTTTTTATCGAAGATCTAAAGAGGCTTTTAATAATTTATTTATTGGTGAGGCGTTGATTGATGTTCATATGGGTGGGACCGTGGGAGATCTTTTACTTAGATCACCAAAAAGGGTACCTGGACAAGTAAACTTGATTGGTTTCTCATCATAGAAAATCTTGGTGAAACATATCCAAATCTTATGGCCAAGGAATTAGAAAGAAAATGGTCTCATCATAGTTTGATCATTCTTATAACTAATAATCAGATTAAGGGCGTATTCATGTCAAACTGTTTCACTCGTTGCTAAAATGTGAAGCGTTCGAGCAACTAGTGGATGGTTTTAGACCAGAAATTGTCAAGTGGTCCAATGATCAAATGTTAGATTTCAAAAATGATTTTAAAGGGTTAAATAACAGTACAAGCATGGAATAAGGAACTTTGACAAAAAAAATTAAGCTTAGAAAGTTGAAGCTCGGACAAAGAGTAATGAAATCGATGAAAAAAGTATGTATGTATAGCTATAATCTTGAAGATTAAATAACACATTAGTTTTCTTAAATGTGTTGGTGGAATTGAATATTTGGAAGCTATAGACGTGGTAAGGAAATCAAAAATAGAAAAGATAAATATGGGGTGTTATGGTGGATGGTGCATGGATTACAAATCTTCATTGTGTAAAAAGTACTTTCCTTATT